CGGGGAGGTCTAGATGCCTGTTGACAGAGTTGGCTTCCGAGTACCATGCGTCAAGCGTCAGCCTTTTGGCTTTTGAGTTTCCTCGGCCTACGATGGTTGCTCCTTTAATGTCGAAGTCGTGGCCAGTTTCTTCAATGTGTGCTGCAAGCTGTGAGTTTGGGTCTAGTCTCCGAGCCGCTGGTTTGTGTTCGTGTAGGCGGGTCTGCAACTGGCCACTATAATTACCCTCCTTTTGGTTGCTGCTTCCTATCTCGGAAGATGAACTCCTGTAAGAGTTCAAAAGCTCAGGACAATAAATCAATTGATCCAGTGCTCGACACGTCTGCTTCCTTATCCATACGAATGCCTGGAACGCGAACATTTTCATTCATTCGGGATACTTGATACAATTAAACTTCTTTATGTTCCGTCGTTGAATTGGGCTATTTACTGACGTGAGCAGCCTATGGGGACATGAAGCGGAGCGAAGGATAGGTAAATAACTTACGTGAAGTTCAAAAGTGTGTATCATTGATTTTGACCAAAAGATTTGGAAATTGATTGAATAGAAAAGGGCACCACTCTCATCCTGCCTATAAGCGTCTGGCTCGCGTGATCTTCGGACGGGTTCGTAGGAATACTTAATATATTAATTGTTTAAGAACACCTGAATTTTATTTCAAAGGACGCAGTGCATCTTTTACTTTTCCATTGATTCCAGGTTCGAACTACTAAAGCCGATTTGTTTACTATGCTAGAAAGTGGCCCCTTCTAATTCAACATTTAAAGTGCTAATGTTCAGCGTTAAGCGGTCATCATGACAACTTTATGTATGTTACCAGCTAGAGCAAAACAACTATCTGACACGCTTGTCTGGTATGTCAGGCTTCAGCGCTAATGCTGCATGCTAGAACCATCATGAATCACCGCATCATACACGTGGGTACGAGCGCCTGTTTACAGCTGCCTGTTGCAAGGGCTTTTGTTTAGGTTATTTCACATCCTGGCTATTTGCCAAGCTGATAGCAAACCTCGTGTGCAGGTTTGTGCAGCTTTCTACATCAGTTCCGTTTATCTAAGGTTACCATTGACAGACAATTTTGAATACTCGCTAATAACCGGCCGTACAGCATTGGACTACAGGAATAGGGGATCGGTGCGAATGATGGAGAGGACGCTTGTTTTCCATGGAAGACATGCAATTGATACAGAAAATATCGACAGTCAAAACCAACTCCTCGTAATCATACCAAGATCTTGCTCTTTCATTACTATTTCACAGGGATTTATTCAATGAGAGTACAGCAAGCTTTACTACTCTACAGGGAAGATGCCTTCCAGATAGTCCCATTATCCAAATGACACGTGATGATCTTCCTTTGATTAGTAAATCTTGAAATTTACCCGGAGGTGTCTTCTATTTGTGCAGTAGGTCTGACCCCATTCGTCTCTCTCCCCAAAGTGTATGAAATCCCCGACTTGCTACCTTAACAAAGTAAGTGATACTATTTTAGGATTCAAATTACAGATATTCTAGTGGTGTACTCATCAATTTGGGCGTCGACTTCAATCTAGATAACAAGGATGGTCACCCACTGCGAGCAAGTGCACGTTAACGTTCTCATCGATTCGGTGCATACGGCACTCATCAGTTGAAGGGAGCAATGGTGCGATTGAATGAATTCACAATGCTTGCACAAAATTCTCATGATCGCAACTTATTGGTGCCCTTTTTTACTACCTTCAAGGACCCAGAGCCCATAACAGAAATTCGAAGAAACTCCCCACTGTCCATGCGCTATAAGCTAATTTTATGGGCGGATGGATGAGGATATGAAGCAGTCTTATTCACGTGAACAACACTAATACCCTGTTCTTCTTCCTGCAGGTTGCCAAGGACTTTCTCGGAGACCGGTTCAGTGAACAGCACCTGGCCCTCGCGGTGCCCCGTCTCTCCGTTTTCGAGGCCTGTCCTTTGCAGGGCAACGTTTTCCTATCCGAAAATGTGACCCTGACCGCGGCTATTCTTAACCAACAGGTACAGGCCATGCAAACCGCTCTGAGCCCAAACATGTTTGCCCGTGTCAACTCAACTCTTGCGGCTCTCCAGTTGACCCATTACTTTCGCTGTCTGCCTTTCACTACAGAAACAGGAGGCCTCCTATCCTCGACCCTCGGTTTCGTTCCCGCCTCGCGCAAAGAACTTCACCGGCAGCTGGGCGGTTGGCAAGAGCACCTGGTAGACGTTTTCATTAATTGCGGCACTGAACTCTGCCTTGAATTGTTGCGTCAGCGACTGGTCAAGGTCACAGAGCTAGCAAGCCTCGAGCGCCTGGGAAGTTCGGCCTCTAGCGATATGCACGATGTACGTGTGTATTTACTCCGCACATTGTGGCCCTCCCTGTCACATGTGGCGAACCCATCAGCAAAAATTTTCAACGAGTTTACCACAATCTGCATCAATACCCTACCGGCCGCAGTGAAGGCTGTTGAAGTTGGTGACCTTGACACGGAGAACCCCTATAACTGTCTGCTGGCACTTACCAGTATGGCTTCCTCCCTTAGAACGCATCCAGGGGCTGCTGCTGATACCAAAGTAGAGACTGCAGTCAGGACAAAAATAATTGAGGTCGTTGAAAGTCTCTTGGATTCTGATGAAGACCCCAAAATGAAGCCCGATTTGACGCGACAGAAACTTGTAGCCGGCCTGACAGCGGCTGAACGCCTGGGCTCTCCTGACCTGACCCGACCCCTTCTTCGTAACATTTTGAATCCCAAGTTGCCTCAAATTCTACGTTTCGTGGCCTTAAAAACCCTTTCTTCACTGAAGTTCAAACTGCCCACCGACCGTGCGGTTATTGCAGAAATTACCACTAGGATGTTTGAACTGTTGTACTCAAAGGACTCATTTGCCGTCACGGAACAATTAGCATTAAAGTTTGGTGCTTTCGTGACCCTACTCAACTTGGAGGCTCCGAGCCCTAGTCTTTCTGAGGTTTTGGCGGAATTCGGTCGACGCAGGCAGTGGTCGCTGATGGCAAGTGCCAGATCTTTGGTAGACAGTTGGTGTCAGCAGGACTTGCTTTCCGGCGCAGCC